CCCCCCCCCCCCCCGATCATCTTGTCCCAGTTACTAATTCAACACCACCGAGATCTAACGTGTAGGATCACAACGTTATCGTTATGAATCGATTGCAACCCTGGATATTCGCCGTGGCGTTTGCTACTATGCAAAGGATGAGGGAGTAACGAACCATTTCAGTTGCCCAAACGCGGGAGACGAGCTCTAGCAGGATTTGAGATCGTTGGCTCGAGTAATGTTCCTTGAGACAAATTCTTGCGTGTTTAGGCAACTCGGTCCAGTAATCGGACGACTTTCAACGAGTAAGACGAGCGGGATGTGGCGTGCCACGAGGTGCTGGGTCACGATACAGTGGTCCAGCCGACGACGGACGCGACGTAAATCTCTACGTGGTTGACGCGGGTTGAACGCGATCCCGACTGAACGCCCCGGTGCCGCGCGATCCCGTTGCTCCGACGACGGCGCCCGAAGCTGAACGGGCTACGTAGATAGGGTGGCTGCCGAGCAACTGCTACGGGGTGTGATAGAGAAACCACGAGAGAGGGACACTACGAGAGTTGTTCCAGTGGTAGGGGCGAATGTGTTCGGGGAGAGAGAAAATTATTGGCTGGCAGAAGGGAGCAGCGAAGGAGAGAAGTGGTCCATGGTGAGGGATGATGGCGAGGAGAAGGGTAGCAAAGTGGGGAAGGTGCGTGTAGGGATGGGAGGAAGTGAGGAGAGAGAGCAAGAGAGGAAATGTGCGTAAGCGAGGGTGAACGGCAATGGCGGAGGACAGATAATTATTAATGACATTTTTGACATTAATAAATTGGAGAGAACTCTCATACGCTTTTAATGAATTAAAAGAAGCTTTAGCTTCTTTTACAACAGCGAACAAAAATGTATATCTCTTTAAGTTCTTATCACTCTAAAACTGCTAAAATTAAGTTTCCTCTGAAACTTCTTTCGCAGAGTAAAAATGTTTCCAGTTGCAGTTTTAATTTTCATAATTCTTGACTACCGCTAAATTGTTCGATGAATTTTAAAAAACTAATTACGCGATACATGCGGCTGAGCTTACTATTTATACATTTATACAGTCCAATATCCACGCCTATGGAGAGTGAACAACGACCGAAAGAGAAACACAACGCGAAGAGAAATGGAATGAACGAAGAGAGATGATGAAAGGAGACGGCAGAGAGAAAGAGCATTACACACGTGTACAGAAGGGAGACGAAAAGAGATAGATAAATGAAATGCTAGAAAGAGACAGTCAGAGGAAAGCGAGATGCGACTGTTGGCCGGGAATAAAGGCAGATTAGAGAGAAAGGGACGAGAACAGGAGGGAGCAAACTTGTATCCGGCGAATGCTGCGACCGCGAGTAGGATAGAACTAGAAATGCGCATATGAGCGACAAAGGTGCAAAGAATAGAAGAAAAGGAGGGGGGAGGGGGACGAAAAGTCGACGGAGCGCGGTTAAAACAAGGACGAGAATATTTTGATCAAAGAAGCGATAAAGATACCGAATACATGTGGAAAGGAGTCAAGCTAGAGAGAGACTAGAGATATATGGGCTGAATAATGGAAGGAAAGAAAACGTAAAAGAGAAAAGGGGAGGAAGGGATAAAATTAGAAAAAAATTGAAATAAAAGAATTATTGAAAGAACAGAATAAAGAAAAATAGCACTGTAGCTAAGCCTTACAAAGATGGATACATTCCAAGCGTGGATTCCAGAGGGAGATCAACACGAAGGCGATCTTGTGAAATAAGAAGATGGCTCGAGAGAAGAGAGAGGAATACTGAAGTGGGGAAAGATGGAGAGATGAAAGAGATGGGAAACACATGGGAAAGAAAAATTCACATAGGTAGGAAAATGAAAGAGTTCAATGTGAAGGGAAGTCAGGAGAAGATAGCAAAGAGCTCCAGAGAGTAAAAGAGAGGATATATGACACCTTTGAACGACCTAGTGTGAACGAAGGAAATTCGAGAGGAGAGACGAAAAAGAAAATGCAAGAGATAGCAAGAATGATGGACGGTGGGAAATACGCGGACGGAGGATGAAATGACCAGCGCGCAGAAAAGGCGGAAGGGGTGGAAACCAAGGGATGAGAGCGAGGGAAATAATGCTCTATCGAGCGGACAGTGGATCATGAGGGGTGGGTGAACTCATGTCTCGTATGTAGGCAAGAGGTGCTTCATGTTTTTGTTTCCCGTGGGCACTCACTAGGGTGCCCGTGAGTAACGGATTCAAGGGGGGATGCAAGTAAGTATGACCAACGCGAAAAGTATTGGAGCAGGTAGATTAATCGATAGAGCGACGTGAATGAGGGTAGAGAACGTTTTTAGTTTGCCATGGCTGGATTTTGTCGTCAAGATTGATGAAAACAGTTTTTTCTAACGTAAGTTTATTTCTTGCTATCCAGAAATATCATTGCGTGTAAGAACAATTAACGTAAATCAGAAAATAAGATTTTGAGTAATGACTAATTACAGAGTTTACTTCGTCAATTAAATTACTTGAATACGTACATTAGAAATATA